CTTCTTTCCCACACTTGAATCCCTCCCAGCATTCTGCTCCTCGGTGCCAGGCTACACCAGCCATCCAGCTGCACCAACTAGATATGTGGGCATCTTGGCTCCTGCCATCTCCTCCATCCCCACTCCCAAGACATCGCCAAGTCCTGCAGAGTTCACCTCCGATGCATCTCTCCAACTGTCCCATCCCCCTCCAGCCCAGGGTCACCATTGCTTCTCTCCTGGGTTGGTACCACCACCACCTAGCCAGCTTGTCTGCCTCCATTCTGCCTTTCCACAACCATCTATCTTCCCGGTACCTATAAAGCTGTCTTTTCAAAATGCAGGTCTGTTTGTGCCTCTCCAGTACTGTTGAAAACATTCTAATGCCTCTGCTGTCATGATCACAATCAGTCCTTGGCCCTGCCCACTTCTCTGGCCTCATCCCACACCCTGACAAGGTCAGACCTTGGTGGTACATCTATTGGAGCAACTTCATATTTATCCCTGTGACTCCTTGGTTAGCATGCGTCGCCCCCTCTAGGCAGGGAGTTCCACAAAGGAGAGATTTTGTTTGTTTTGGCTTCACCTATTTGGGGCAGGCTTGGGTACAAATCTAGAATCTGCCCCCACTTGGCCCCTAGTGTAACCCCGAGCAAGTCACTTAACTCCTGTAAACCTTGTTGCTGCATGTGAAAAATGAAGAAAATATTGCCCACCACTCAGGTTGTTGGGAGCCTGGAATTAAATAACACATGCAGTGAGGACAGAAGAGGAGGGGCTGCCTTTTACCCCTCAGCTCCTGGAGACCTCGCCCAGACCCTTGGAAGCGAGGCTTCCCTCCTTTGGGGAGATAGAAAGGGGTAGCCTGACCCGGTCTCTCCAGCCAGAAGAAAGAGTGGGCAGGGTTTATTAAATCTCCAGAAGGGTCTAGGACCCCAGAGAACAAGGCTTCTTAACATTTCCACTTCATTAAGTCCCTGCTTCCCCCAAGAGCCTTCAGTGGCTCCCTACTGCCTACAGCATTAAGTACAGCACCTTTTACCTGGAGTCTCACTCCCAGCTCCTATCTGATCCCCAGCATCTCAGGGCCTCTCCTCCCACCTCTATGCTCCTTCCTGACCCCAGGCCCATTCCTCTGGCCTAGAAAGCCCTCTACCCTCAGGTCTCACTCTATAAACCCTTCTGCACCCTTCAAGGCCCCCTCTTCCAGAAAGCCATCTAGGACTGACCCAGCCCACACTAATTTCCCTCTCTTCTGAGGTCTAATGACTCCAACAAAAGACAAAGCTCTGGTGTATGACAGACCATCTGGATGAAATGCCAAGCTTACTACTGTTGGAGGACGTATTTTTCTAAAGGATAAAATCATGAATGTCAGACAACTATAAAATGAACACACGTCAACGATTTTATTCAACTTGTTAATGAGGAAACCAGTAAGATGTTTATACACAACTCAAAGGAGAATCCAAAGAGCTTTGACCCCTCCACCCCAAGATATCAAATGACCTCACCTGACAAAATTCATTTGCCGCTCAATGAACAAGAATAATTTGCATTGTTACCAGTTTTCTATAACTTACAGAATAATAAAATAGCTCACAAACCCCTACAGAAACAGGTAACACCTAATAGTTAATTAAAAGGACACCTGCTAATCTTTTTTGTCTATTTTAAAGTGTTTCATAATCTTACTTGGCACTACTCAACCAGCTGTGCATCTCTGGAAAGTCAGTTAACTTCCGAGGGCCTCAGTCTCCTCATCTGTAAGGTGGGAGTAAAAGCACAAAACCCTCCAAGCTCTCAGCAGAGAGGAGCTCCAGAAGAAGTGCTTCCGGGGTTACAGACATTTCTCTGCCCCAAGTTTCCTCCTTCTATGTCAGCTGCCACTTCTGAGCTTGTGACTCTGGGAGGGGCCTTGTTCCTTGTGCCCTCCACATCGCCCCCACCAGGTATGAACCAAGGTCTCTTCCTGCACCTCCCCATAGCACTCCCAAGGCACGTTCAAGGGGACCTTTAAAAATCCATGGAAAGAGGAAACATTTTCCCAAAACGGGTGGGATAGGTTTTCCCGCCTCCCTTTTTAAAGCATGGTGTGCTCCCCATCCCCAAGGTCAAGGCAATACAGAGAGCTGGGATTGTAATTCAAGGCTGGGAAGACACTTGATATACAGTACTCCTGTAAAAGGGGTCTACTAGCAAGAGGTAACCTTCCAGAAAGGTCTGATGGATTTTTTAGACAGACATCCCACCCAGAGGCCAGACCATCCTGAAGGTCTTTCCCCCTCCTCTCTTCTACCCTTAATATCAGAAGATGCCCCTAACAATAAAATTGACAAATTAACCATCACTGGGGAGAGGGGAGAGGTAGCAAGACAGAAAGATTCAGAGAAAGGAAAGATAGTGGGGAGGCAGAAGCTGAACAGGCCCAGAAGGCCCCTCCGACGTCTCCACCCCATGGGCTCTTTTGGAATGAATGACATCATGGACCTTGTTCTTTACAAACCAAAAGCATGGTCCTTGGGATTCCCTGTGAGTGACGGGGGTGACATGAAGCACGCTCCAGGGCAAGTCCTCACAGCCCCAGCACTTGGGGGCTCTCTGGGAATCTCACTGTCCCGAGATGTCACTGCACAATTCCCACAGGCTCCTCTCTCCAGCCTCCCAACCTGACCCTTGGCCAACCAAACACTAGACACCACTGTGCTTCCCTGGTGTCCCGGAGATGCCACTCCTGCAAATCTGACTCCACACAGAAGAAAGCCCCAAAGATACAACGTGCCTATTGACACTAAGAATAACAACATGGACATGGACAAACTTACCCATGAAGATGTCCATTGCAGTGTTGTTTACAAGTATGAAAACCTGAAACAAACCAAATACCCAGCAATGGGGGATTGGTTCAATAAAATACAGTACAGGAAACTGTAAGAGGCAAGGGGATTCAAATCTATTTAAGGACACTTGTAGAGTTATGCAACTAAAAAGAAACCTCAATATTAACAGTGACTGGTTTTTATTTTCTTCTTTCTCCTTCTGGTATTTGCCAAGTGAACTACACTAACGTGTATTTGTGGATGGTTAGATAGACAGGTAGGCAAACAGCCATAAGCCAACTCCCTAAAACTAGCTAGATCCAACACCATTGGAAACAATTCTAGGTTCCAGTCTGAGGAATATGCCAAATTTGCCAGACCAATGATGCTGGAATGGGGAATGGAGGGGGATGAACTCTTTAGGGCTAGAACCTTCCAGAAGGACTCACTCAAAGTGAGCCACCACCACAACACACACACACACACACACACACACACACGCACGCACGGTCTTGCCAAAGGGGATGGCTTACAGGTAAAGCTGCTCAACAACTAGAATAGCCATCCTGTAAGGGTCAGCAGGTGTCTGCTCAGGCAGATCAAGGTCACCTTAGCAGCGCTGTTTCTCTTTATCCTGGCCCCATCCCCCACACAGTGCAGATGTCCCCATGACAGCCCCAGATGGAGCAGTTATGCCCCAGTCTGGGTCCTGACCCCCACAGTCTGCAGCAGGGATGGGGTAAGCAGTGCAGGAGGCAGAGCCCAGAATGAACAACCACCAAGGGAGGCTGGGAGGTGTCCTCCCCCTCCCAGGCCATGGCCCACAAGGCTCCCCCACCTGCTCAAGGTAGGATGATAGGCTGGACCACCGCTGGGTGGAGTACGGTTGTTTCCCCACCGGAGCCTGCTCTGCCCCACCCTTCCCTTCCACTCCAACTCCATGGCTCTCCCAAGGCTGATCATGAACACGTTCGGCTCGTTGTCACCATGTTTTACTTTTGAGAACCTTTCCGGTGGGGAGTGGCAAGCCTTTGGCTTTTGAGACAAACCCAGCTTTGAATCCCTGGCCTCTTTAAACCCCAGTTTCCTCATCAACAAAATGGGGGCTTGGAGAAGGTTAGCGACAATGTATTTCACTGGTTTATTTATCAGATTTGCAGGCTCCTGTCCCCCACCCAGAAGCTGCCCTCACGGGGCTCCCAGGCAAGTAGAGAGATTAAATAAACGACTCCACAAGGTGCAAAGCACAACATAGCAGGGGTGCAACGAATGGGCGCAATAGCATCATGAAGAAAGGGGGGCCTGGCGGATGGGCAGGGATTTGTCCAAGGCCCCAAAGCAGGTGAGGACAGAGCAGGTCCTGGAAGCCAGGAACCCTGCCCTGAGCCAGGCATCCTCTCTGGACAAGCCGGCATCTGCCAGGGCTGAGCTCCATGCCCTAAGGTTGGGAGCGGGAGGGGGAGCACAGGGTGGAATGAGGGGTGAAGGAAACTGGCTTGCTGGTGGCTCAGAGGGAAGGTCCAGCTGCCACCCTGACGCGCCCCAGAACTCACCTGCTAGCAACTGGGAGCGAGAGGCCCTGCCAGGCTGTGTCCCCCTCTCCATGCTGTCCTTCGCTCTCTGCCTGTGACAGGGCTCCCCTGCTCAAGTGCCCAGCCTTGCCTCCGTCCAACCTGCCTGGCTGTCCTTCCCTGACATGTCGTTTGTCTACCCTTCTCTGCACGTGTCAGTCCTCCGTTCCTGTCTGCATGTCATTCTCTACACACGCCTGTCGTCTGTCCTCCTCTTCACACGTCTGGCTGGTGCGCGGCCTCCCTGCATCCCTCGGCCTCCCCGCCGCCCTGCCCCGCCTGCCTGTCGCCGTGTGGGTGTCGGGCTGGCTGTGCGCAGAGGGGCGCGGCTCGGCCCTCCCCCCTCAACCCGCGTCCCCCGTCTCAGGAATGACCCGGAGCCGCGCCGCCGCCGAGGGGGGCCCAAGCCAGTGACGGTGGCGTGGGTGGCGGCGCGGGGACGACAGGCTGCCGGGCGGGGCTGCGGCAGGGCAGGGCCGGGGCCGGGGCCGGGGCCTGGGAAGCCGCCGCCGCCGCCTCGGCCAGGGATCGCTGGCGGCGGGTCTGCTCGGCTCGGCTCGCCCGGCCCCGCCCCGCCCCGCCCCTGTGCGCCCCGCAGGCCGAGGCGGAACGGCGCGCCCCCCGCGACGCCCGAGCCCCAGCCCGAGCGCGGTGGCATCCGAGCGGGAACCCGAGCGGGAGCGGGAGCGGGAGCCGGGGCCGGAGCGGGAACCGGAGCTGGAGCCGAAGCTGGAGCCGGCACTGCGGCGCACGGAGCGGAGCGCGGCAGCCAAGCCGAGTAAGGGGCGTGGGGCCCGGGGCGGCGCTGGGGAGGGGTCGGGGCGGGGGTCCCGGCCCCCTGCCTCCGCGCTCTGCGGCGGCCCCGGCGAACGCACACACCCGGGGGCGCGCCGAGCCTCGCCGCGCCGGGCGGGCGGATGCGCGGTCTGGAGCGGAACCGCAGCGCGCTCGGAACGGAGCGGGATCGCAGGTCCCCTGCCTACCCGCGCCCCGGACGGGCCACCTGGACCGGCGCTGGCCGAGGCTGCCCTGGAGCACGGGCCCGAGAAAGGGGAGGTCCCTGGGGCTCCTGCCTGATTCGAGTCCCGGAGGAGCGCGCACCCCATGTGGGAGCCAAAGGCAATCTCCCCATCTTCGCGCCCTCTGGGGGACCCTTGAACAGCCCACCCAAGAAGGGGAACCTGGGGCGCAGTCTCGGCCGCGGTGGGAGAGGAAAGGGACTTGGGCTTTGCAGAGTTTGGAGCTTGAAGAACCCCTTACCCCTTTGAGCCGGGAAGTTTGACCCTCCGACAGGCGGGTCACCCGGGCCATGCCCCTGTTTCCGTGCCTGCCGCGCTGGCCTATTTCAGCTCCCAGCGGGGGAGAGCGAGCGTCCCCGCCGCACCTTCTCCCGGCTTGGGGCACACTTTCCCTTGCGCTGTAAGAGTGACCCGAGGCTGAGTCCGAGGCGGTGGCTCCGGCGGGCTGCGCAGCGCCGAGCGGCATAGCTGCCTCTCCCCAGGCGCCCTCGGAAGCTGGGCAGTGCCCCCCTCCCGCGGCCGACTCGCGCGGCCCTTCTCTCCCCATCGGGCTCCGCGGTCTGAAGGCCGATGAGCCGGGAGGACCCAGGGCTGCCCTCCTGATCCCGGGCCGGTGCCAGCGTTGGTGGCCGGGCTCAGGCTGGGAAGGGGAGGGCTCAAGTGACACCGGTGTGAGAGGCGTGGGTTTCCGGGGCCTGGTCCTGGGTCTTGATCCACGCAGTCCCACAGGCATCTGCCAAGAGGATGCCCTTCTGGACTTTGTCCTCAAACGTCATGACTGCTTTACTGGAACAAGTGGCTTCACCACCCTGTGCCTCTGTTTGCTCATCTGAAAAGTAAGCAGGATTCCGTTGTAAGCAGAATGTGTAAGGGCTTTGGAACCAGAGGGTGGGCTTGGATGACTTCCTGGCTGTATGACCTTAGGCAAGACACTTAACTTCTCAGAGCCTCAGTTTCCCCATCTGAAGCACGGGGAAGGTTAATTGGGAGGATAAAATGAGATGATGCTCGTGGGGGGCCTAGCCTGGAGCCTTTTGCACACAGCCCCAGTACTCAACTGCTGTTGGCTACAGGTGTCATTTTATGAGATGTCCATACCAGGAGATGCTGAGGTGAAGTGAGCTCCCCTGCAGGGGTGGGGACATAACGCCCCTCTCCTCCCCTCCAAGGAGGCCTTTGAATCCCACCTGGCCTACTGACATCTAACTGCAAAGCATAACTTTCCCCTTAGGGCCGGCCCTTTCTCAGACACTCCCTCCTCTCCAGCTCTCTGCCACCCAGCCCAGTTTCCCACTCCCTGCCCACCGTCTCCCTCCAGGCTGGACAAGGCTGTATCTGATGGTAGGGGTGCTCCTTCCTCTTCACTCCTGGCTGATGTCTGCCGCCCAGGCAGGGGAGCCCCACTTGTCGCTCATGCTCTGTACAAGGGAATTTGCACACCTCCCTCCCCTCCGGGGTTTGGAGGTGAGGGCAGGGTTGCTTTCCCTGAGGAGTGACCAGGCTGTCAGGCAGCTTGGACATGCCAATGGTGATAGTTCAAGCAGCCGGGAGGTCTGAGGCATCCCAGCCTTGATTCCTTGCTGACTGTGATGTGTTCATCCAGGCGACTGGGGCATGAGGCACCAGAAACAATGAACCTCAGGAAGGAAATGGAGCTGGTGACTGATTGAGAGGTTAGAACTGCAGAGCTAGGTGGTCCCCAGGAAGGGATCTGCCCCAGTCTGTAGCTGGGGTCTCAGGCCCAGAGCAGAGCGCACGGAAGCCTAGGGGAGTATGCTGGGGTCCTGGAGGTGGCGTGGAGGGTGTAGGTGTCAGGAGCATTGGTGGGAAGAAAGCATGGTCCAGCTTGGGGACACCCATGTCAGTCTCTGGCCACCTGTGGCCCAGCTACCCAGAACCGGGGATGGGGGAGGGATTTCAGATGAGGAAACACGTCCACGTGTTGCCAGTGGGTACCTGGTGAGACAGGCAGAATGAGCTACCTCCTCCGGGCTCCTGCTACACAGAAACCCCTCTCTCCTTCCGCTGTATTCCCCCCTCCCTTCCCCCATTCACCGCTAGGGTGTCACATTCCTGCATCTTCCATAATCGTCACTCCTCATCTTCCCAAAGGAGTTAATCAGAAGCTAATTAGGTGTGTGTCTACTGGTTCATATGGAATTTGGAACACAGCCAATAGGGAACATGGCAGGGATATGGGCATTATCATTGGTCTTTGGGACTAATCCTCTGGACAACCTCAGAGGACCATTACCTGAAGTCTTTGCCCTGAAAGTGCTCAGAGCACAGGATGAGGGGCAGGAAGGCATAAATCTGCTCTCAGCCTCCTAAAGGAAGAAACTGAGGCCAGAAGGGCTTCTGGAGTTCCTGGGCAAGTGAGTGCAAACAGTAGTTGTGGCCGAGAGCACAGCTTCTTGCAGCTGGACTGCCTGCGTTTATAGCATGTGATTCTGGGCAGGTGACATCTTTCAAAGCCTCAGTTCTTTCTTGAAAATGGAAATAAATATTACGTGCCTCCCGGGATAATGTGAGAACTGAAGAAATAATATATAAAAAGCAAATAGCAATGTCCAGTGGACCTCAGCCAGTGGCCCTGCTCTGTCTGCATTACGAACATGCATGGCACACACCGTTTCCTAAGCATAAGCATTCTCTCTTTGACTTCTGATAACAGCTCTCTGACTTAGATACTATAATTGTTCCCGTTTTATTGATGGGAACACTGAGGCTTACAAAGGTTAAGGGCCATCTCGCTCTGCTAGGTATAGAATACTTAAAACTTCACTATGACTCATCATAATTTTATATGCATTTGTAAACTTGGCAATTAGCACATTGTAATTTAGATGGCATGTAATTAGTTATTGGAATGATTCCTCCATGTATATCTTCAAACATTATGTCTGAGAACTGAAAAAGAATATGTTAATTGTCCACGGGCTATAGAATTTTTAGAGACACATTCATTTTTTTCTGTTCAAACAGGAATCAAACTGATTTAAAAGAGCAGCCTCCCATACGTTACTGACCCCTTTTTTCTCTATAGCACTTACCATCCCTAACATCTGTATATCTTATTCATTTGTTTATTGTGTGATAATATAAAGTGAGCTCCTCAAAGGCAGGAACTTTTGACCATTTTGTTCACGGGGACATCCCAAGAGCCTAGAATAGTACCCACAATTAGTGTGCTTTGCAAAATTATAAAGTGTTTTACAGACATAAGGTCTATTATTGTTATTATTTTTTGCTAAGTGTATAGATTCATTGAAATTAAAACATTACGGTTCATAACAGAAACCATTCCTTCAAATATTTGGCAAATAAGACTTACTTAAGTGCCAGAGATAATTTGATGAAGACTAAAAACAATGGAGATTATGTTCCTAATATTTTAACAAAGCTTCTTATCAGTTAAGTTCGAAGACAAGTGCACGTTTTAAAAATCTTTTCAATAGCAAATGACATCGTCAAAGGTGATTAAATTAGCTTTAAAAACTTGCAATGAGTTACCTATCCCTGACTCATTCACTTAATTACTTTTTAGTTTGTTATCACAAAAGGTTTTTTCAAATATTCACTTTAATGATTTTTCAGATTATAAAAGTCACACGTGTTCATTGTAGAAAATTTGGAAAATCATAAAAAAATATAAAGAACACAAAAATCCTCCTTAATCCTGCTACCACCGAAAGAGTTCAATTTTTTTTTACTCTTTTTAGTCTATTTCCTTTCTAATCTTTTTTGCTGTGTATAAATACATTCTCTAGGGATTTTTTTTCTTTTATAAAATAAGGATCATGGTGTATGCACAGTCCTATAACCTGGTTTTTTTTAATAACCTGAAGTTCTTTTCCTCTTAACATTATACTGAAAGACTTTATGTTATTAAAATTTCTTTGAAAACATGATTTCACAGCTATATAATATTTCGTTGTAAGCGTGTGTCATAATTTGCTTAGCCTAGCCCCCCTTATTGGACACTGGGTTTGCCTTCCATGTTTCACTGCTATAAATAATGCTTGCCTATGTCTCTACTGGTATCCTCTGAATCTGGTTTTTCTAGACACTTGGTCAGGACCTATTTGCAGCTTGCAGATGGACTGGTTTATGCAGTTAGACAGTAACTCAAGCCTTCTAAAATCGGGCCACGAGAATGGGGAAGGGACTGGCAGTGGATCCTATAGAGGGCTACTCCAGGTAGACTGAGGCAACATAGAGACCCAGTAACTGCCAGGCATACCCTGACCGCTGCCCAGTGGTGCACACATGTGGCCAGGTGTTGCTTGTAGCCAGAAAGCCTCCTTCCTGCAGAAGCTGTCACACACCTGGATCCCTTTTCTAATATCAGGACCAAGTTACCTCTTTGCAAACCTCAGTGCCTCCTGCCCACCTTTTTGCCACTGTCCTCTTGCTCTTTTGCTCCCCCCGCCCACTCCTCAATTCATTCATTCCTTCTTTCAACCCTATGACAAACAGGACATTTATCCGCACTTGCCAAGGTATGTCCTTCTCCATTGGGGAAGTTACCAGCTGGGTCCCAGCCTCAGTTAAAGACCTCCCATGACAAGAGAAAGGTTTTCTGCTGCCTGAGGACCCCCCACCTGCAGCCCCAGGAGTTAGCCCCTGCCTCGCTGAGGCAGATGCAGCCCTTTCAAGATGAGCACGTCCCTGGAATTCCTAATTTCCTCCCAGACCTGAGCAATCACACGCTCACCCACAGATCCATGGAACCCCTGGGAGATAACATCATGCATTCGCTTGGTAAACAGTCACCGAGCACTTCCTATGTGCCAGGCACTGTGCTAGGTGCCAGGGACACAGTGGTCGTGTGGACCGCCTAGACCTGGAGTCACTACCTTTCCCATCTCCACCGTCCGCCAGTCATCCAAGCAGACGCAGAAAATCATCCTCCACTGCTCCCTGTTCCTCACCTTCCGTGTCAGATCCATCTGTCCCTAAAACCCAGCCAGCATGTTCCTGCCCGGCGCCCTTTGCACACTCTGCTCCCTCTAGCTGGGATCTCCGCCCCGGGTATCTGCCCCGGTGGCAGATGTATGTCGCCCTCTCGCCAAGGCCTTCTGCAGCTGCTGTACCTAAACGCGCAGTCCCCACTTGCACACACTGCCTCTGCGTCTTCCCCCAGTGCTCTCTAACGCGCTCCGCCTTGCTATTGTAGCTCCAGCCCCGGCGGGAAAGCTCCCCAGGACAGGGGCCCATGCCTCCACCCCAGCACCCAAAGCCTGGCACACCAGGTGACAGAGGCCTCTCCCCTTCTTCTGCAGTCACCGTTGCCTCCACTGAGGCCCCGTCACCTTCTGCCACAGCCTCCCAAGCTCCTGCCACCTGCCTCCCACCCCCGCCCACTCTCCACCTTCCTAAAGAGAGCAAAGCTGGCCAAGTCAATCAAAATCCTACAATCAAAATCCTCCTGGGGCACTCTGGAGGCAGAGAGCTCGGGACCTCACCACGCCGCTTCTGAGTCTCAGTGTTGTCATCTGTGAAATGGGGATTTTTTTCTGAGGCTCCAGTGAGCTGACAGCATGCGACAGCGGTTAAGCAGGTGCCATGTGAAGAGGAGGACATCATAGGTCCTCCCTCACCAGGCCAGCGGCTCCTGCAGCCCTTTCCTGCGAGGCTGCCCGCGCCCCGGCCTGCGGCTGTGAGTCTGGGTGCCAGCCCCCCTCCCGCTGGAGACCCGGCCCTCTCCCCTCAACCCCGCTCTCATCCACCCAGCTCCGAGCATCACCGCAGGGCCCGGATCGGAGGCATTCCAGGAGTGGGGACACGAAGGGAAGTGATGCGGCCTCACCACACACCATTCAGCCACTTCAAAGCCTGGAGTGCCACCCGCCCGCCCTCGAGTTCCCAGCCAGACAATCCAGTCGGAGATGAGTCACCAGCGGGAGCAAGCCTTGGATGCTGGGCTCCCAGCGAGGCGGGCAGGGGAGAAGCAACCTGGGGCGTGGGCCCATGTTTGCCCGGCAGCTGGGGGCCCTGCCCCCACCCCCAGTGTCAGCCAGTCTGTGCCCTCGTCGCTGTACCCTCACTGCGGCGCTGTCACATGCAGGGAAACCAGGGTGGGCACTGGCTCACATGCCCCCCCATATCCAGTCCTTTGTGTTGATGGCCCCCAACAAAGCTCCACCCCAGCCGAGGGGCTGATGCCACCAGGAAGTGGTTTTCCTGTGGGGCCTCATGCCGAAATCCTCAAGTGGGGGGAGGGGAGAAGGAATCCGACACCCACAAAGCCCCTCGTGGTGTTTTCCCAGGGTTTCGTGGGACATCGTGGGTGCTTGGTAAATGAGTCAATGAATGCGAGCCCGCGTGCTAGGGGGCTGCGGCGGTGTGTAGAGTGCCGATTGTGCTGCACGAGGCAGGGAACGGTAGCCCTAGCTGATGTCAGCGTCATTGTCACCAAGGGTGAAAAGATGCCTGGGAAGCATCTCAGCTCTTACTCAGGCATCCTCGTCGGCGACGTGAGCGTCACCTAAAGGCGGCCTCGATGCGTCAGCCGCGCATTCGCATCGGACCAAGCCTGGCTTATCCTAGAGCTTCCTTGTGCTTTTGAATGTCCCCTCGGTGCCCAGCCCTGAGCTAGTTTGCAGAGGCCACACTGGCCCTCCATGCCCTCAAGGAGCTACTCGTCTAGAATAATTTAGGACCAGAGTTGTCCTAGAAGGTCGTCTAGGTGCCTCAGAAGCACAGTCAGCGTGACTGTTCTTCCAGCAATCAAGGAAGACCTCACTGAAGAGGTCTCTTGAGCTGGGTGTTGACAGACACATAGGAGTTTGCCATGTGTGGGGAATGGCATGCCACGGAGAGGGAACAGCCTGCAAGAATGGCAGGCTCAGTCTGACCACGAAGCAGGCCAGCTAGAGCCCCAGAGCGCAGGTCTCTGGGGGTGTTCCTGGCAGTAACTGAGGGGCACTGGCCATGACAGGGTCCCTCCCCACACAGTTCCTCCTCCATCTCTCCTCTGTGGACTTGGATGAGTTTATCCCTGAGCCTCAGTTTTCTCATCAGCAAAATGGGAGTGATGTTCCCTTCCTCAAAGGGCTTGTTGCCATCACGTTGGTGGCATTACCTGGCACATGCAGGTGTTTGGTGAGTGTGAGACATACCTGTAGCTCCCAGTGTCCAGAAGGCATCCACATATGGAAAGGCAGCCAAACTGCATTGACTAACGATTGGTTTTTCTATGCCTTGATCTGTCGAAGTTGTCCAAGGCAGTGGGACCTCAAAAGTTCATGAGACGGGAGAACTCCGTGGCGTTTCTAATTCCCAGTCAAGGGCCCACCCAAGAGAGATACCCACCTCCCCACCTGCCACTCTCCGCCGGGACCCCAGCAGGCCCTACCCACCCCTGCACCCACACCCTCATACTCTACAGCCCAGAGGTCCCCCGGGCCCTTGCCCAGACTGGACGTGTGCTCTCAGGGTCACCATCGTCTCCCCAGAAGGTTGAGAGCTCAGGAGATGTGAGCACCCAGCCTGCAGGGGCAGCGGGTGTGGTGTGGGCACCTCCAACACCTGCCTGTTTGTGTCTCTGCAGGTGAGTGGAGGGGCCTTCCCTGCGAGAAGTCAGAGCTGTGCCCGGGGGGCAGGCTGGCTCCGCTGTTCTGCTCCAAGGATTACATGTCCTTCAAACGTCCCTGCCCCTGTAAGTCTCCTCCCTGCATCCCATCGCCGCTCGGGGCCCGGTGAGGGCAGAGCTTGAAGTCAGGGCTGTGGAGAATGGCTCTAGGATGTTTGGCCAAAGACCTCCAGGATCTAACTAGAAGCCGATGTGGCGTGCTGGGTGGGAAGAGGGCAACAAAGGACGCCCCTGATGTCTGCAGGATCCTCCCGGAAAATTAAAAATCCCAGTTTGGCAAATTCCCCTGTATCAGCCCTTCCCAAAGTAGTGTGGATCAGAGTTCCTCTGAGGGATATTAATGGGATTTTACAAACACACAAAGGCTCCACGGCCAAATATTAATGTGTGTGGGAAATGCTGGGTCAAACGCGTTAAAAAAGTTTTTCTGGGCCGGGCGCGGTGGCTCACGCCTGTAATCCTAGCTCTCTGGGAGGCTGAGGCGGGCGGATTGTTTGAGCTCAGGAGTTCGAGACCAGCCTGAGCAAGAGCGAGACCCCGTCTCTACTAAAATTAGAAGGAAATTAATTGGACAACTAAAAATATATAGAAAAAAAAAATTAGCCGGGCAGAGTGGCGCATGCCTGTAGTCCCAGCTACTCGGGAGGCTGAGGCAGGAGGATCGCTTGTGCCCAGGGAGTTTGAGGTTGCTGTGAGCTAGGATGATGCCATGGCACTCTAGCCCGGGCAACACAGTGAGACTCTGTCTCAAAAAAAAAAAAAAGTTTTTCTGCTGCAGGACTTTTCAGAGCCTTTAATATGGTGATGAGTGTTGTGAGGCTCCCATGGGAGAGAGAAAGCCTGCCATCCTTCCCACTCTTAACTGACCACAAGGAGTGTCTCACAGGATTGTGTTCCACCGGACACACCCCTTGGGGGTTACTGTCCTCAGGAAACCCGTCCCGAGCATCCCTGCCAGGAAGGTCCTCATTTACTGAGGCCGTTGGATGATCTTGCCCCTCCCAGTCTTCTCTTGGCTTCCTCATGCCTGTGAGTCCAGGACATGGGCTCAGCCGTGTGCACCCTGGGACCCAAGGCTGCAGCCCCCTCGACCTACTCCCCGTCTCCCAGCTCTGCCTTCACCAACTCACGCCACCGCCCTGGCCCTGGGATCCTTTTCACTTCCCCCGTGGCAGCCACCTGCTTTCTCCCTTGATGTCCCCTGAGCCCCCCAAAACCACCGCCACTTGCTAAAATTTGGGGGGATGTGCATAACAGCCCCATCCCTTCTGCCTGATTAGTCAGGACTGTCAGTCTGTGAAGTCAGGGACGCCCGACCTCAGCCGTCACCTCCCCTCTCCCAAGCTCAGGGTGGCTGCCCACAGGCTGTCAGGAACTGCAGGCTGGCAGGGCCTCTGGTGGGCTTGGGTCCGCCTCAGAGTCAGTGTGCTGCGGATGATGCTTAAGTTCTGGTAAGCGGCTGTGTGATGCGGAGCCACCTACCGTGGGAGGCCACGGGAGGATGTGGCTTCTGTTCACGTGGAAGGGTGGTCATTGGAGGGTTTTGAACTGAGAAGGGACCCGATCACCTTGGTTATGGCAGAAGAGGCTGGAGAGGGACCCAGGTGGGAGTGAGGAGGCCAGTTGGGAGGTTAGGACAGCGGTCCGGGTGATGACGATGGGGCCTCGGACCCGGAGGCTAGCGGTGGAGGTGGCCAGACGGGATAGATTTGAAGGTGAAACTGTTAGGATTTGCAAAATCATTGGATTTGGGGTGGAAGCGAAGGAAAGGAGTCAAAAAGGACAACGTGTGGGGCCTGGGACGCGAAGGACGGAGCTGCCATATGCTGGGATGGGAAAGATTGTGGCAGGTTTGGTGGGGGCCTGTGAGTCGGTATTTAGGGTGTTGACATGTCATGTCTGAGAAGCTCGGTAGACACTGGAGTGGAGACACAGGGCCGGCAGCTGGACAAATGAATCTAGAGTTCAGGGAGGAGTCTGGGGCTGGAGATGTAAATCTGGGGCTGTCAGTGTGTGGCTGCTGCTCGGTGCTGTGAGGCTGGATGACATCGCCCGGGGAGCGAGTGCGGGACTGAGGGAAAGGGAAGGGTCTAAAGACCGAGCCTCGGGCTGGTGGAGGCGAAATGATTTCTGCATCTGGAATTCTTGCCAGGGAAAGCGTGATCCCGGGGTTGTCACTCGTGGCATCCCAAAGCCAAGTGCAAACAGAAATGAGTAGGGACACTTCTGTTTCTCTGCCCTTAGGGCTACCCTAGATTAGCTACCCTGACACCCAGCCCTGCCTGCACCCAGAACTGTGCCCGGGTGATTGGGAAGACTGGCTGTGTTCTCTGATGTCACTGCAGAAGTGTGCAGCCTGCATGCTTCAGAGATGACAGAGAGGGACCTGGAGAGAGAAGTCACACACCCAGGGACCCACCGCCCGGAGCAGACAGGATTCAAAGGAGGGCTTCTGGATCCAAGCCCAGGGCACTCCCCACACTGGACCCTCTGGGAGCTTGACTACATTTTTACTTCCTTGAGTTCATTTGCTTCTCTTTGCATTCAAAACAGCACGTCCCCCTCAGTCCCCAAACCGTCAGCTTCTAGGGACTACTCCCTCTGCCCACCTGAGCCCACCTGGACTCCATGTCCCTCTGCAGCCCAGGTCTTGCTAAAGAGAGTCATTCCAGAGCTTTCCTCTGCCTATACCCCAGGGCCTTCAGCCCCTGGGTGGCACTTGTCTCCCCTAGGCACGGGGCTAAGGGTGAGGACTGGGGGTGGATGGAGCCTAATGCAGTAACGACAGCGAGAGCTGAAAGACCCAGGTTCTAAACCCGCTGGAGCAAATGTTCCCGTCATCTGAGCCCGTTTATTCACCTGTAAAAGGAGGTAATCAGACCCAGTTTCCTTTGTGACTGTGAGGGTTTGGTGAACACATAGGTGCTCAATGAGGGTTTTTTCTTTTCTTTCTTCTCTGGTGTTTTAATCCCACAGCGACAGCCGCAGAACGACACACAGTCTTCTCTGCAGGGTCTGCCCCTGACTGCTCTAGGGGAGAACGCATCTTCTCTCTCCCTTCCCAGGCAGCCCCGGGTTGGCGTTGCGAGGCAGCTTGGCACACCGGCCCACCGTCATTTCCCAACCTCCCATCAGGGGCCAGCCCTGTGCCAGTCCCTGGCATGAGCACCTGATGGCATAACTCAAGCAAATGGGCTCCCCCTACCTTGTAGGTCGGACGTAAGACGGCATCTGCTGAGCCTACGGGTCCTACCCTGGAGCTCTACCCCAACTGCCTCATACTCCAGAGGTGGAAACTGAGTCCCGAGGAGGGACTGGACCAGGTCACACAGCATGTTAGTGGCTGAAACTTCAATCTCCCATCCTGACCTCACATAAAGCACTCTTTCCACATAAAAGCGGAAAAATGCCCCAGGAGGGAGCCTGCCGCTCTGTTCTCAGTGAAGACGCAGAGAAAGAGCAGCCCTCTTTCGAAAGTAAAACTGTGATCCGAGCCATGTCTTCCAAAGGACAAAGGCTGTCACGACCAGGTCCCCTCCTGCCACTTACAAGGCAATGGAAAGACAGACCAGCAAACCTTCCCCTCCTGCCTGTTGCAGTTTCTCCCCTCTGGGCCACAAGACACCAGAAAAATCTCTGAACATTTGGAGTACGAACGGGAATTATTTTCTGGGGAGATTCTCTAGAGATTTTTTTGTTTTAGTAGAAATACCTGATACCTGCTCACGAGAGCCAATAGTTAAATAATCAGGAATTTCATGAACCAGTTATCGAACCACTGGTAGCTTGAAGTCCACCATGATGGGAATGTTTACACCATGGAAATTGGCAAACAGTACAAATCAGGACCCTTCCTTCCTTCCTTCTTTCCTTCCTTTCTTTCTTTTTCTTTTTTCTACTTTTTCTTTTTTTCTTTTCAAAGCTGGTTTACCAGCACACCACTAAATATACATACAGAAAGGTACCACAAATCAGTGTGCAGCTCTGTGAATTTTCACAAAATGAACACAGTCATATCAAGAAACACCTGCACCCCAGAACTCTCCCTGTGTCCTCTCCCAGTCACTGCCCCAGGCCAAACATTATCTTGATCTCTGTCACCACAAATTAATTTTACCTGTGTTTGAACTTTATATATATAGAGTCATACGGTATGTTCTCTTTTGTGTCTGTCTTCTTTTGTTCAGCATTACGTGGTGACATTCACCCATGTTATTGAGCATAATTGTAGATCATGTATCGTCATCACTATATATAGCATTCCATTGTGTGACTATACCACAAATAACTTATCCATTCTACTTTAACGGGCATTTGAGTAGTCTTCAGTTTTGGGTGATGAATGCACAGTGCTGCTGTAAGCATTCTAGTCCAGTACTGTCCGATAGAACTTTCTACAATAATGAAAATGTTCTATATCCTCACTGTCCAGTGTAATAGCTACTAGCCACAGGTAGCTATTGAGCATTTGAAATGTGGCTAGTGCAACTGAGGAACTAAAATTTTAATTTAACTTAATTTGAATTAATTTGAATTTAAATAACTACTTGTGGCTGTGGCTATCATGTTGGACAGTATAGTTCTATTACGTGGCGAACATATGAGTGCTTTTCTGTTGGAGAATGCATTCCACCTAGGAGTAGAATTTCTGAGTTATAGGGTATACATACATTTGGCTTTAACAGACAGAGCTAACCAATTTTCCAAAGTGGCTGTACTAATTCATATTCCCACCAGCAATGTATGAGACTTCTAGTGGCTCTACATCCTCACCAACATTTGGCATTGTCTGGAGTTTTTCATTTTAGCCATTCTAGTACATAGTAGAGGTATCACATAGCAGTTTTAATTTGGAATTTCTTTGGTGACTAAATATAATTTAGCACCTTGAATAGTCTCATTTTTGAAGTGATTGTTCAAGTCTTTTGTGCACTTTTCTGTGGGATTCTTTCATTATTGATTTCTAGGAGTTCTTTATATATTATGAATATGAATCCTGTGTTGGATATATCATTGCAAGAATCTTCTCCCTTTCTGTGGATTGCCTTTTGATTTCCATAATGGTG